CCATACATGTCCTGCTGAAAGGATTCGCCTCTTTGTAATATCTTAGGCAGTTTATGAAACAGGAAAACCATATATAAACAAGATATTATTCTGCATTGATACTGTAGGGCAATTGATCTCTGCTTCTCGAAACAGTGTATTCTTTGGTAATACTGACCTGTAACAAACAGGTCTGAATGAGGAAGAATTAGGGCGTCTTGCGTGCCTGGGAAGAAGTGTTCAGAAGACAGCAGGGAGGGACATTGCACATGTTGTGAGTAACTGTAGATTTCTCTGTCCATACATTGTTGGAATTTTGCTTGTATTGCTTGTCATTACGGCTATAAACCCGCTAGTGTTTTAACCAATCTTAGAAACATCATCTTTATTGATTCTTCGATTTAAGATATGTTGTCACATACATATTCCTACAGATTTGTAGTAAAGATGCTTGATGTAAAAGATGGATAGTGTCTGACTTCATTCGATGTAATCATCTTGTATCTACTTGACATGAATGAAATTTCTTTCTCGTTGAGGTGAACTTTTAGATATTCTAAGAATTCTCTTTTTATATGCATACTGTAAACTGTCTTATGCATACTGTAAACTGTCTTATTGTTTGTGGACCACCAACGTATTATCGTAAGATCTTCATTATATGACACATCATTCATATATGCAATGAATGTACGGTAGTTTGTTTCCTAGGTTACCATACACAAATTACTTTTAGTGATTTGTCTAAACCATATTTTGCATTCAGTTTCATATATTGCCGAATGTTTTCCGGCAGGTTGCTACTGGAGGGAATGGTGCAACAACAGTTTCTGCAACTTTGTATTTTGCTTCCATGGTGATCTGTTTTGTTAGGAGGTTTTTGTCTAGGAATTTCTTTTAGCAACTTTTTTTGCATCTGGCTAGTGTTGGAATTTAACTAACATATAAGCTCTTGCAGATTGGCATTCAAGTTTTTGTAACCGGGGGAATAGGAGGTGTGCATAGGCATGCCAATCAGAGTAAGTTACAAGTTGGTTTGGGCCCTTTGGGGTTTCACTTCAGTTTTCTTGAATCGAAGCTAAGCTTCTATGGGTTAACAGTAGGATCATTTTTTTTTTTGCTTTGTTGTTTCTGATGAAGCTATGGACATCTCATCTGATCTTACTGCACTGGGGAGGACTCCGATGGCAGTAATTTGTGCTGGCGTGAAATCAATACTCGATATTCCAAAAACCCTTGAATACCTGGTATTTAAACTGCTGTCTCTTATCTACTCTTCTACATATTCTGTATTCAACAACTAATACGAGGGCTTTGCAACAATACCACAGGAAACTCAGGAGGTGTATGTAGCTGCATACCAGACGAATGAGTTTCCTGCGTTTTTCACTGAAAAAAGCGGTTGCAAGGTGACATTATCAAATTTTCCTTGATACTGATCTCAATCTGCTGTTGCTTTTGCTATAACAAAATCGAGATTTTGACTTCAGGCACCATCCCGTGTGGATAGCCCCGAAGAGTGTGCTAGAGTAATAGGCAAGTTCCTAGAGTTGGCTTCACATTTGTCCTCTTGCTTATGCACTTGTTATAATATGATAATATCTAACTCTGGGAGAGAAATTTCTTTCACCAGATGCAAACGCGAAGCTAAATCGTCAGTCAGGGATTCTAATTGCTGTTCCAATTCCGAAAGAGCATTCAGCATCGGGGAATCTCATTGAATCTGCAATACAACAGGCCCTTAAAGAAGCAAGGTCAGAAAACTAACCCTTTTTTTTTGCCAGATTGTACTGAAAATACCTCACGGGGTTCACTTGTTTTCACAGGGAGCAAAACGTAACTGGAAATGCAGAAACTCCGTTCTTGCTTGCACGGGTGAATGAGTTAACAGGAGGCACATCGCTCGCATCAAGTATCCTCTTTCTAGAGTTTCACCATCTTTATAAATGACGATTACTGATATAAAGGAGATAAAATAATTTGATTATAGATAAAAGAAGGGGACACACTTTCTGGGTTCAGTTAGGGGATTTCGGATTTCAGGCAGGGCCGTTGGACTTGTGAAGGAATGGTGACTTGAGTTCCTTGACAGACTTGACCAGACATAGCCCTGGTGAAGAACAATGCCCGAATAGGTGCTCAGATCGCTGTATCTCTTGCCGAGCAGCAGCGCAGGTGAGGTCTTCCTGTCGGCAGCACAGGTTGTCATGTCCAAAGACACTCGAGTCTCCTTCTGTTTCAGTTTCTTTTTAACCAATACTCTCTTGTTGCATTTTCCTTCGAATTCAATCAGTTGCTAGGACTATACGTGCGTGTGTTGTCTAACTTTAGTTTGAATGGTGATTCGTGTGGATATGTACATTTCTAAAGCACAAATTGCGAGAATTTTACGTTTACATATATAAATGAAATAGTGGATTGGTGAATGATTCTATGGACTTCCGAGGAGGAACATCGTTATTGGGCTTCTCGAAAGCATATAAATGGGCCACAATTTATATTAAATTATATGTCATATGGGCCCATGATCATTAGACCCCCCAAAAAAAACACCGATCGTACCGTACGGGCTGAACTCAAGTTTTACGGTGTGCGACTCTCCCTCCGACCAATTTTTTTTTAGAACGCCGTTGTCCAGCAGCACGCTGACGCTATCAGGTGTATCTCATTCTCGCCGTTCCCTCTGTCTCGTGTTTTTTTTTTGGCCGTCGAATATAAAATTATAGACTAGGGTTTTTGGGTTCGAATTCTGGTGTCTCTCTCTCTCTGAAATCCTAATTGAGGTGGGTTTTGATTCTTATTCTGATTCGAACTTCACTCGCTTCTTGTTTGAATTAGAGCTGGGTTTTGTGGTTTGAAAGTCTCGGCTGATTTGCCGGCTCTATTTGTGCCTACACCAAACAATGAGAGGGTCGTCAAGCTTGGTGCTGCGTCAATGGTGTTCAACACCTTCCCCTCGTCTTCTTATCAATGTTCTCAATTGCTCGAGAGGTGGTACTCCATTTGCACCCCTATATTCCTGGAATGTCATCCCCTTTCTTCTTTTCTCCTCTTTTAACATCTCAATCTTTAGGCTTATCCACAAAAGCTGCAACGGTCAGTTCTCCGACCGTATGTCAGTGTCGGAATCTTCAGACTGCTACTTCTCCTGTTGTCAGTTCTAGCTACGTGCCCAGTTCCTACGTTACACAGAAGAAGCATGACGTAGCTTCTTCCACGGTATTCTCTCGATGTCTTTTGTATTGCAGTGATTCTCTTTCTGGAATCTTGACTCTGCGTAGTATGACTATGTAGTGTGTTTTTTTTTTGGATTTGGGTTTGTGTTTGCTGGAGACATTTTCTTCATATTCTCGGGCTTCCCCCACTTTTTCACATTGTGATTATTCGAATCGAGTCTAAATTTGATTTATAGGAAACACAACCGGTGATGCATGAAGGTTTGGGTGCCTTCCAAAAGCTGCCAATGGTGATGCCATCACTTGATATTTACTCTTCTGCACTCAAGAAATCAAGGAGAATCCAACCAACGAAAGGTAACTGGTGATTAGTAAGCTATCGGTACATGTGTTCGTCCCTCAAAACAAGATGCCTACTCATCATTGTGCTACTTGTTTTTCTCAGGCATAGCTAATATTGCAAAGCGGGAAAGAAATAGAGGAGCCAAGCAACTCGATGCACTCATGAAAGTAGGTTGAGCTGTCTTGCTTGGAAAGTTCAGAGCTGGCAGCATCTTCCATGATTAAATGATATTATACTGATTATTTCAGGAATTGGCCCTGCCTTTGAAGGGGTACTTGGAAAATTTCCCGAGGAAGAAAGTTTTGCACCCCTACGAGCGCTCTCTTATTGAGCTGACACTTGGAGATGGGAAGTATGAGGAGGTATTGGCGTAACCAGAATGCTCTTCTTATATCAACTGTATCTCACAATTAGTTATATGAGTCTTTGCCGAGCTCTGGCCAGCTTGGCTTGCAACTGTGAACGCATATATCATGTTTTAGGTTTTAGGAAAGGTTGATGCTGTAAGGAAGAAGGTACAATCTGTCGGGAAAGAACATGCTTCTCTTTGTGCTAAGGTTAGACTCTCAACTGCATTAAGGCATGTTGTATTTAACCTTTTGTCATCTCATCTCGTGTGCGAGGATAGCATCTTTGTTTTTATATAGTCTAACTGATCCATCTTTGTTTTTTCCCCTCCCTTTTTATCCCATTGTTAAGCATGCTTATTTGTATCTGTTTCTGAGGTTTCTGTGTAGTAGTTATGATGATTCAATCTGCTTCTGTAGAAAATGAATCTAGAAGCTTTGCAAAAATGATATAGAATGGTGGCTATCTTGTGATGTTTTCCCTTCTTTCCCAGCCTTTCTTCGCCCATATTTATGTGGTTGAAAAGGATAAGAATTTGTCGGATGTTTTGAGGTTGAAGTTAGCTATCTGTTGGAGGAAGAGTTAAACAGCTGTTTCTTTTTTTCTACAGTCATTGTCAAAGCGAGAAGCCGAGGAACGCTTGAATGAGGTAATGCGCTGTCATTGTAGGTGATATTTACGTATCGCGTCATTATGAACTGTGCTGTAATTGTACCATCAGGGTGTGGAGAAGCTTGAATCGATTTTCCAACAAGAAGGAAGAGCAGTTGATGATTTGTTAAACATAGCAAAGGTATCGTGCTATTGAAGTTCTCATCTTTGGGAAATTGTGTGCCATCTTAGTTATCCGTAATGTCTGAGACAACTCAAGTATGTTGCAGACTTTAAGGGCCATGCCAGTTGTTGATTTGGAAATGCCTACTCTCTGTCTTGTTGGGGCTCCGAATGTGGGGAAGTCGTCCTTGGTTCGCATTCTTTCCACAGGGAAGCCTGAGGTTTGTTACGTTTGTGTGATCTCTTTCTCATATGTGCCATCATTTCCAGATATAAATGGACTGATTTGCATAAATTCAGCTGGTTGCTTGATATTTACATATTTGTTTTTTTTCGGGCATTTGGAAACTACTTGGTGACTGAGGATTATTTGTACCTTTTTTTATGGTTGGCTGGTGAATCTTTCGCCTTTCCATCTCAGATATGTAACTACCCGTTTACCACTAGAGGAATTCTGATGGGTCACATCGTTTTGAACTACCAACGATTCCAGGTCGTGTATTGTGTGCTTCATTGTCCATTGTTTTGTTATTATAATATAATGTTCTCTTGCAATTTTGTTAATGTCAAGAAACGGACAATGCAGGTGACAGACACCCCTGGACTTCTCAAGAGACACGATGGTAGACTCCAGTTGCAACTCAACTCTAAACCCCTTCTGTTCTCTTTTATAAACTAGTTTATCCTGAAATGGAACAAACATAACATTTTACCCTTGCTGACGAAAATAAAAAACTTTTGGAGTTGTAATATTGGATTTTCCTTTGGTTTGCAGAGAGTAGGAATAATCTAGAGAAGCTAACTCTTGCTGTCCTCACACATCTTCCGACCGCGATTCTCTATGTCCATGATCTATCTGGAGAATGTGGGACTTCTCCTACTGATCAGGTATGCCGTAAAAGATGTTTAGAATGCATAAATATGCGACGTTGTTTCAGTTTTAACGCAAAGATTCTGAAGCGGAATGAGCGAAACTCCATAAGCATTTTCTGCATCTGATCCTGCCTCACTGGGTTTGAACATGCAGTTTATGATTTATAAAGAGATCAAGGATAGGTTTAGTGATTACCTGTGGCTTGATGTTGTTTCCAAATGCGATCTGCTTGGAGGTTCTCCCGTGATCTTTGCCAAGGAAGATATTGATGTTGATGACGTGGAACTCTCAAGATACCGGAAAACTGGACCAGATGGGTCAATCCACGTGTCGGTCAAAACCGAACAAGGACTTAGCCAGGTATAGTTACTAGCAGAGAGCAGTGTCAGTCAATATTCATTCAGTTTGTTGTCTTGTCCAAAAACCGAATCTAGCGTGTGAACTGATCCGCTTCTTTGCTTTCTGCCTCGCAGTTAAAAGGCAGAGTGAATGGGCTTCTAAATGCTCAAATGGGGAGAATCAAAAGCGAAGGGGAGAGCCAAAACCAGTGAATGCATTTGATGTGGAATTCGGACCAAACAAAAGAGAATATCGGTGTAACCTGAGATCAACCCTCTAGGAGGTCCGGAGGGTTGTGTCTGATTTCGAAAGCATGAAGCCGATAAGTATTTTATTATTGGTCACAGGAGCAGTCCATGGAACTAGAATGATAGTTTAGATGAGAAAGGCGGACGATGATGGTGTATTAATTCATCTTATTTCCTTAAGGGTAAGGGCGAAATTATAATTATAAATTCAATCAGTTGCAAAACTGCTAGGACAGTAGACAAAAATGCAGATTTTATGTGAAGTAAATAATTTATAAAAAAAAACAATGTGCGAGTGGTTTTTAATTAGAGGAAGTAACCGGAATGATTCCCGGTTTGAGACCTAAACCGGTTATCCTTCATTTTAATGTCGGCGTCGTTTTCACGGATTGCCATTAATTAAAAAATAATGAATTAATTACTTTTTAATATTTACTTATACACGCATAAATACATGCGCCCCGGCTGCATCCAGCATTGGCGATCTCTTCTTCCTCAACTTTCCTTTTCTCTCCAAAATTTCTTGACATTCGATTTGTTCGATCTCTCCGATTGATTTCTTGATTTTCTCCTCCCGATTACTCCGATCGTTCAGTTTCGATATTGTTGACCAGAAGTTTTCTTCCAAATTGAAGATCTCAGTCACTTTTTTGATATCTCAGGTTTGCTTCCCCGATTATGTCTTCTTCTTGCTTTCGGTTAGGGTTTCTGCTTCATCGCGATTCTCGTCATCCTCCATGCCTGGCTTTCCGAGGAGCTAGGGTTTCAACGATGGGGATTTTCGATGGACTTTCGTCAGGGGTTTCCATTTCGATGGACTTCGCACTTCGCACTTCGCAGTTGGATGAAACTATCGGAGCCTTGGATTGGATTTTTAGGTCATGATTTTTCTCCAACTGTTGCTAAAATACTCGAAAGATCGTCCGTTGCTTGTGTGGATTTAGGATCGGCGTTCATTGAGAATGCATTCTGGATTTGATTTCACGGGTTCACCTTCTGGGTTAGCATCGGAGCGATGGAACTCATGTGCTCCTTGATCATGGATCGTCATGGAAGGAACAGTTTATGCTTCGGTCTGTGGTTCAGTCTGCTAAAGTTCATCTCTTCTCTTGTATAGTATGAATCTCCAGGCAGCGAAGCGATTCTCAGACAAGAAGACGGCTTGCGAAGTTAACAAATATCAAGACAATGCAGCAGAAATAGTTGTAAGAAGACCCGTGCGCCTTATTACAATAAACAAAGAAATGGTCCTTATAACGGTTCCAGGAATTTGGTTTGGACACAGGAACAGTCCCGTCGTTCACCTGATGACCAGTCACTGAATAAGCGTTCCCGCAATTTGGTTTGGACACAGGAACAGTCTCGTCAATCACCTGATGACCAGCCACAGAAGAACGCTGCTTATGGTTCGACGAAAACACGTGTTTCTGGAGTTTCAGACAACACCCCGTACCAGCCCAGGAATGATGTTGCCTATGTATCTAAGAACTCGTCTGTTTCAAGCGTTCGAGGTTATAGTTTAGAAAACGGCATTACTCCCAAGTCCCAGTGAACTATTTGCAAGTACTGGACATCTGGAAGTTGCAAGTATGGTGAACAATGCCGTTTTTTGCACTCTTGGTGCTCTTGCCCTCGGTTTGATATGTTGGCTGCTCTTGAAGGACACAAGAAAGTATGTTTTCTGTCCTTGTGCTTCTTGAATTTTCTAGTATTGAATAATGTAGATGGCATATATTAATGTAGAACTAAACTTTTTGCACTACGATCTTAAAGGGATTGCCCTTCCCTTGGATTCCGATGGAGTTTACTCTGCTAGTGATGATGGTACTCTGCGAGAATGGGTCTATAGCACTGGTCAATGTATGCGCGTGATTAACCTCGGTGCTGAAGCAGGATCTTTAATCAGTGAGGGCCCATGGGTCTTCATTGGCATGCCAAATGCTGTAAAGGTTAGTCTCATAACGTCTTTCCGCTTTTGATTATTATCTGTCGAAATCTTAGTTATAGTTTCATGTTTCTTTCTATTATCCTCCAGGCCCTTAATATCCAGAGAGCTAAAGATTTTCATCTAGAAGGACCAGTTGGTCAGGTGCATGCCATGGCTGTTGCCAATGACATGCTTTTTGCTGGGGCCAGTGTAAGCGTTTCTCTTGTTTTTTTTGCAATGTCATTTCCTTGTAGTCTCACGTTCCATACTGTGTTAATTGATAAAATGTCTCATTCTTTTTTTTAATCTATAATTGCTTCAAGAATCTAATTAGTTGCATTTTATTCTTGCTGGCATCGCAGTCTGGAATGATATCAGTGTGGAACGGAAACACCGAGTCTGACCCGTTCAAGTATGTTACCTCTCTCAAGGGCCATGATGGTGCAGTTGTGTGTTTTATTGTTGGAGGTCGGTATCTCTACTCTGGTTCCGTGGATCAAACAATAAAGGTACTATACTTCTACCAAAAAAAAGTTCCTTCCGCTTTGGACTTTAAACTTTTTAGTCCTATGCGTCAGCTATTCTTAGTTTATTATCGTGTTCTTCTGAATCAAGTTACAACTATTGCAAAGAATGTGTTAATCAGATAAAATTTTCTCTGTTATTGCCAGGTGTGGGATCTCAACACCTTGCAATGCACAATGACCCTGAGGCAGCATACCGACACTGTCACATCGCTTCTATGCTGGGATCAGTATCTGATATCGGGTTCCTTGGACGGTACTGTAAAGGCTTTGGGCTTTTTCCCAAATCGACTAGAGCATGTAAGCCGATTCAAAGTAATGATCTTCCCGAGATTTATTAATCAAAACGATCACAAAATCACACGAATTGATCTCTCCTTGAAAAAGGGTGTTCGTGCTATTTCTGGGATGATTGATGCGGATGCTAAACCCATCATATTCTCTTGCGAGAACAAAACAATCTACGTATATGATCTACCATCGTGAGTAACCTAATGAGTGTTAAAAGCATTATTATATATATTCATCTGAGCATTAAGATCGCATCATATGATTAAATCAACATCTCGTTTGTGGTCACAGATTCGCTGAACGGGGCAGGATTTTCTTGATGCACACTGTGGGAACGCTGATGGTCGGTGGCGGCGGACAGATCTACTCTGGAGACAGGAGTGGCAAACTAAGAGTGTGGAGCTTAGGGAACCACCAAAGTGTGGCTTAGGATCATAATCCCACACATTCTCGACCGACCAAACCTGCCTGTTCGTTGCTAATTCTTTGATTTATGTAGACAACACTCACCATTCTGACATCTGTTACTGTTTTCGGTGCGAAGGGGGAATTGGTTATATAGTCCAAAGAAGTTGGAAGACATTGTGAAACAAACAGGTTCTTTCAAGAGATTCTTCTTCTTTTTGCATCCTTTTCCTCTTTTTTTTTTTTCTTTTTGCCAGAAATTGCTGGTTATAATGCAAGACATGATTAAATGTGTAGAGAGGATACTTCAAGAATCAAAGATTGGATTGATGAAATATTAAGGACGGGTGTTCTTTGAAATAGTCACTCTTAACTGAAGCAGCAAATGGAAGTCCTGTCTTAGATCAAAGTCCCAGATTTAGAAACAGAGGTTTTCTCTCTTTTGGATTGCGGCAACCAAACTCAAATCTCTAAAGTTGGGTTTTTGTGATGAATATCGAACCAGAAAGGAACAAGAGAGGCAGCATGAAAGGAACCAGAAAGGAACTGATGAAATCACACTTAAACTTCAGCTATATAATCGTCATCATCAACATCGGCTTTAGTAACCCTTTATTGCACGAGTTGGAAATTTGGAGTCATTACAAACAACAAAGTTTTCACAAACCTACCTTATTATTGACCACCGACGACTCTCTTCCGGGTGATATCATTGTCCAAACATAAATGGCAACGACGGAAATCCGCGAGGCCAAGGAGGAGTCGGACCTCTTCCTTGAAACTGGAAAGGTGGTCGTGGCATATTATCCATGTTAAAAGGCGGCAGAAAAGGTGGTCGCGACATATTATCCATATTAAAAGGTGGCGGAAAAGGAAACTGCGGCCAGTTTTCTCCACCAGGAGGCCGAAAAGGACAATCGAAATCACTTGCTTTGCATTTCCCGGCGATCATGAAGAACTTGTAGACAACTGTCTTGACAGAGTTTGACCCCCAAGCAGCTTTGAACTCATCTATCAAACTCGCCGGCAACAAATCAACTCCTTGTTGCTTCGCCTTCACGACGAGCTGCCATGATCTCAGGTAAGCCAAGAACCCGTCCAGGGATAGCTTCCATGGAAGATCTAATGGCAAAGGATTCCCCTCGGAACCAATCCCGACGCTTTCGAAAGGAAACGATATAGTTCTGTAACCGGCCAACGACATGTCCGTTCTTGGAGTCCTGAAAGGGACCGTAGAGTCGGCGAGGCGTTTGAACACGCGGTCCACCGGGGGAGAGATGACGATATTGTTGAAGACCCAGACCGCGATCACGCCTCCCGGCTTTCGCAGTACGCGTTTGACGACCGCGTAGAACTTGTCGAGGTCGAAGTAGTGCAAAGCTTGAGCCGCGGTCACGAGATCCACTGAGTTTTCGCCACCGAGCACAGCCACGAGCTCGTTTTCGGACATTGATTCCGGTGTCAGAAGGTACGTAACCTTTGGGTGCTTTGTTGCTTTATTCAGTTGGCCTTGGTTAATATCAGTTGCCACCACTCTGTTGTAGTATTCAGCAAGCTATATATAAACATAAATAAATCACTAGTTTGTTTATTTTCAATAGAAATAACACAACTCCAAGAATTATTGGTATATGACCAACAAAAGTTTATATTAAAATCATCCTTGGACTAAATTATAAATTAGGGTAAAACAGGAAAAGTTTAGGATGCTAACCCCGACCGCAGCCTGGCCATTCCCAGTGCCAACGTCCCAGGCACGTTCGTGGAAAGTCGTTTTCTCGGTCAGCATCTTATACCAAGACCTCGGATATGTCGGCCGAGACTCTTTGTATGCCGAGGCTTGCTCGGCCGACAAAGTTGCTAAATTCGACATACCTTGCCCTCCTCGGTTTTTTTGTTTGTTTGTTTATTTGATCTATTGGCCTTTGTATAAATTGTTGTTGTGCAGCTAAAATGGAATGGATTCGTTATATAGACGACGACGAGGAGAAGCCATAGTTTGTGCTCTGAGATGTGAGTGGAGAATCTGAGGGCCATTGTAGATTCTTAATCTTATGTTCCTTATGCCTAAAGTTAGGTTTGAATGAACGAGGACCAACGAGTTTTTGTTCCTCCACGATTTAATCCATCTTTCTATCGTCGAATAAAATTTCCATATGCAGTCCCACTAATGTTTTTTTTATATTCCGAATTTCATCAAAGCTTTGGTCTAATTATATCTTCAACAGAATTGGAGAATTCCATGTAAATATCTATTTTCAAATGGAGACTCGAATCTGGATTAAGAAAATTTTTTTTTTTCTTATTTATTAATTGAGCCACTCAATCTTAGATCAATCTCATTAAAGTTTTCCAGTCAAATCTATTCGTCATTAAATTTTTTAAAAAACTTCCGATTTTTCCACCATACTGTTGAGAATGAGAAGGATTTTATGAGATTGTTTTGAAGCTCTAGTTCATGTGAGCATGCGGAACCAATTCTAGGTTTAGACGGGGTTGGAAACTGAAGGTCCTTCATTAGGGTGGACAGTTTCATTGAAGCTCGGCCCTATGAGACTCGGGTTCACATTGGATCGACCTAATGAAAGGATATGAAATAATATCTCCCGTGATATTATTCTCAAATCCTTCTATTACGACCCGCTTAATATCGTACTTGTATGTATTGATAAACGTTTTTTTTTTCATTTAGTTTTTTAATAATATATCGAGTTTCTAACAAAGGCCTGAAAAAAAATTAGGCTTTCCAACCAAGCCGGTCTATTTCTTCAAACTTATAAGTTTAGGCTTTGAATGGGGATGGGTTTTATTTTGTGTTTTTAGTTTTAGTTTTAGGATTTTCTGGTTTTTAATTTTTGGTTTTTGACTTTTGGATTCTATAATATTTGAAAACTAAAAAAAGGTAGCTTTTAATTTTTTTTTTATTTTTCCACTAAAATAGCTTTCCAAGTTTTTAGAAAAAGTAATTTATGAAAACTTAAATGATAATTTTTTTTTTATTTTTAGATTCTAAAAACTCCAACCATTCATGGTCTTAGATTTGAAACCCCATATTTTTCAGGTTGGTTTTAACTTTTAACAGCCTTTCGAGTTTCAGGCCAAAATTGATACCTATAGCTATAGATTATAAGTTTTTTTTAATATCAGTTTATTTCTTTAAATGTGCAGTTAATACTAAGGGATAATTCCATTTAAAACCCTGTACTTTTCTCTCGTCTCAATTTAAACCCTGTACTTTTTTTTGATCCAAAAAAACATTGTACTTTTAAAAATTGGCAATTAAAACTCTATATTTTTAAAAATTGGCAAATAAAACACTGAACGAAAAACAATATTATTTAATGCTGACATAACATCCTAGTCATCTGGCACATCATCAATCCCTAATATTTAATAATATTAATTAATAAAAAATAAAAATAAAATTCTAAAAATTATATATATTCATAAAAATTATACACATATATAAACATGTTTATAAAAATTTTAAAATTATATACATATATAAATATATTTATATATACATATATACATATATATACATATGATACATATATATCTATATATGTGTATAATTATTATATGTTTTATATGTATGTGTTATATATGTATTTTTCCCTAAA